GTGTGAATTAGTCTAGGTGTAAGACTACCGGGAGTGACTACTTCTAGTCAACTGGATGCTCCATTGAATAACATGCAAATTAAAATGCTTTTAAAACACTTTTTACTGCAGGGTAAACAACATGAATAATATGTGTTTGAACAGTGTGTTTTATTGATGCTTCTGTTAAATTGAGATGTAGAGACAAGGACCTCCCACCAAGTTTCTGCTCTTGTCATGTTATGGGCTAGTTACACAACTTGCTCTATATCAAATGGATGTACAGGTTAGACCTCAGGTTCTGTACCGTATCTTTGCTCATGACTGAGTTAAAAGTTCAGGAAATAAAAAGGCAATCAGAGTAGTTCACTGAATTTTCACTATGATTGGCCACAATATTATCGTGGAGTTTGGAAGAGGTCAATTTTTGCATTGTTAGTTCTAAAATTTTTTCTAACTTCCATCCACTTCTAGACAAGTCTGAAGCAGTAGAAAAAGCCATAAAGCAAAAACAAATGTGTTTAAAATCTCAATAAAAATACAAATGAATATTGTCAGAATTTAACATGGTTTTTATGTTCTCTTTAGTGTTTTTATTCCAAGAGGTAGAAATCATAGGTTAATAATAGAATTAACATTCTGAACATTATTGTCAATGATTATAAAATTAATTTTATTTATTTAATTAAATGATTTACACTTTGTTATAGAATAAATACATTTTTAATTAAGGGGTCATATGTTCATGATACTTTCATTAAATTTAATAGAAAAATAGAATTGCATATCAAAAAATTGCTTACAAATTCCTCTGTATTTCAGTAAAGAATATTATGAAACAAAAAGATAAAGTTTTATAATACTTATATCATAATAAGATACTTTAACATTAATTTCAAATAGGTGTGATTCCATATCCTACAGGATCATTCTCTTGAGGAACAAAATGCAAAGGCAGAGACATCTTTCTATACACAGTGCAGATGAAAGAAAAGTCGAGAAATATGAGTCCTTTTTTCAGTTCAGGGACCATTAGATTTGGTTCGTACTACCCATCCGATCCTTACCAGGGCAAATTTCCATCTGTACTGAGACAATGTTCATTAAACAGAATGTGTGTATATCCAAGGGTTTGTTTAACTTAAAGAGATATACTATCTCCAAGTTTTCCAAACAAAAATGGCCAGTTCAAAGTCCTGTGACCAGTGGCATGTAAACTGAAGCAATCGGTGATGCTCTGTTAAAATTTAAAAGGTTACTACGCGTGGGCTTTAGAACTTGTTTAGAGGAGTCGTGATAACCTTGACTCTCAGTAGAAGTACAAATTTATTCATCTCAGACTCATCATCCACATTTTTAAATCATTAATTTTTTCCCCTTCAAAATTCAAGTAATCGTATTCCACTGTAGATTACTTGGTTCTTACAGTGGAGTATATTTCATGTTTGCTTTTTCCATGCCTTGCCATTTTAAATTGTTATATTTAAAGTTTAATTTTAATTCGATTTATTGAACTCAGTATCAGGTGGCCCAACACAGTTATTAGCTATCTACAATGGTCTGTATGCCAATAACAGGACTAAATTACTTGTAAGTTGATTGCTAAGCTTAAGTTCAGGTTTTGTGTTTTTCTGAAATCAGATGATTTTATTCTATAATCCAGATATTTCACTTTTTAAAAAAATATTTTATTCATTTATTTTTAGAGAGAGGGGAAGGGAAGTAGAAAGAATGGGAGAGAAACATCAATGTGTGGTTGCCTCTCATGTGTCCCCTACTGGGGACCTGGCCTGCAACCCAGGCATGTGCCCTGACTGGGAATCAAACCAGTGACCCTTTGCTTCACAGGCCCGTGCTCAATCCACTGAGCTACACCAGCCAGGGCCAGATATTTCACTTTTAACAAAAATGCTGCGGGTTAACAAAGATGCATCTTTCAATGAGAACTATCAGCACTGACCGGTTGAGGTTACAGCTTGTCAAAACCCATCCAACAGGTGCTCCGTGTGCAAGCACACTTACTCAGTGAGAGCCACTTAAAGCTCATGTGGATTTCCCTTAGTTTTAATGTGATAGGTTCTCAGTTTTCTAAAACTAGACTTACCTTTCTGCTTTATGAGGCATAACCAAACCACAATTGTTATTGTTATCTCCTGATTTTATTCTTTGACCTATCACAAAAATGTCATGTTTTTTTTTCTTGGATATCTGTGTTAGTAGTTCGTAAATCTTCTCTTCTCTTGTAGATCATCTGTTTTTTGTATATTAAATGAAGACAGGGATAATGAACCCCAACTTAGGAGAACCAGGATTTTTTTGTCTTGGGTCTAACACTCATTCGCGTTTTAACCTTAGACAAACTTGTTCTTCAATCTGGATTATTCTCATTGCCTTCCAGTGCTGGCAGAAGAGTGTTATTTAACATTATGCAAGATATTATGTTGCATTGTTAGGTACCATTGTTGCAATCATAATTAGGTACTGGGATAAGAGACTAGTGCCTATTCAATAAAATTATGTGGATTACATTTTGAACAAAAAATAAATACTCATGGTTTAACAAATTATTTCTTTTTTATTTTTGAGTTTAAATAATAAGCTTTAAATATATAAAATTAAACCACATTCAATTATGTTTTTAACCAAGATAATATTGAACAGAATGAAATTAAATGAAAATTAGTTTGGAACAGAATTGAAACCTCAGAAGTAAACTCTTACTTACGTGCTCAGTTAATCTAACACAAGGGAGGCAAAAATATCCACTGGAGAAGTGACAGTCCCTTCCGTAAGTGGTGTTGGTAACACTGGACAGACACATGCAAAACTTGAAACTGGACTACTCTCTTACGTAATCTAAAAATAAACTCAAAATACATTAAAGACTTAAATGTAAGATCTCAAACCACACAACTCCTAGAGGACATGGATAGTAAACTGTCTGACATCAATCTTAGGAATATCTCTTTGGACATGTCTCCTCCAGCAAGGACTATACAAGCAAAATAAACATATGGGACTAAAAAGCTTCTCCACGTGGAGGAAAATGATCAACAAAATGAAAAGAAAACCTACTAAATGAGACAAGATATTTGCAAATGATAAACAATGAGGAGTGGTTATCCAAGATATATAAGGAGCTTATATAACTTAACAAAAATTAATCCAATCAATAAATGGGCAGAAGACAGGAAAAAACATCTCTTCAACTCACACAGATGGGTCAACAGTCATATGAAAAGATACTTAACATCACTAATCTTTAGGGAAATGCGATTCAAAGCCACAATAAGGTACCACTTTACAATGGTTGGAATGGCTAGTACCAAGAAGACAGCAAACGGCAAGTGTCAGAGAGAATGTGAAGGAAAGGGCACCCTGTGCACTGTTGGTGGGACTGCAAGTTGGGGCAGCCACTGTCAAACACAGTACGAGATTTCTCAAAAAACAAAAAACAGAACTATCATATCACCCAGCATTTCCACTTTTGGGTTTATTTGTGGAAAACAAAAACACTAATTTTAGAAGATATATGTACTTCTATGTTCATTATAACATTATTCACAATAGCCAAGATATGGAAGCAACTTAGGTATTTGTCAATAGATGAACAGAAAAAGAAGATGTGGTACATATATACAGTGGAATATTACTCAGCCATAAAAATAATGAAATCTTGCTATTTGCCACAACATGGATGGACTTAGAGATCATTATGCTAAGTGAAATAAGTCAGATAGAACCCTGGCTGGTGTGACTCAGTGGACTGAGCTCGGGCCTGTGAACCACAATTCTCAGTCAGGGCATATGCCTGGGTTGCAGGCCAGTTCCCAGCAGGGGATGCATGAGAGGCAACCATACATTGATGTTTCTCTCCTTCTCTCCTTCCCTTTCTCTCTAAAAATAAATAAACAAAATCTTTAAAAAAAAAGAAAGAAAAATATGTTGGTTATAATGAGTTTAAAAATATTTTTAAAAAAGATAGAGAAAAACAAATACCACATGATTTCACTTAATGTGAAATTTAAAAAATCAAAACAAATGAAGTAAAAAAAAACAGACTCAGAAACAAAGAACAAACTTATGCTTGTCAGAGAGGAGGGAGGTGGAGGGATGGGTGGAAAAGGTGAAGGGGAATACGGTTCATAACAGTGCGATAGCTTTGCATGCTGCCAGATGGTTGTAGACTTAGTGTGGTGTCCACATAACAAAATATATTCATGTCGAATCCCTGTGCTATGCATCTGAAACAATAACATTGTATACCAACTATACTTTAATAAAAATCATTTTATCTCAGAAAATCCAGGTGGCGATTTGCCATGTATAAGTATGAAATAATCTGGTTTTGAAAGCAGTAAATTGACCAGTAAAACCCTGGAGATAATATTGCTCTCTATTTAAATGTATTTGTCATAAGAAAACAGAAGAAAATTGGTTACTTGCCTAAAAAGAATTTTACATGTTTTATATTATTAATCAAGCAAACATTGTTGGATATCTACTCACTCATCTAACAAATACTTACTCACTGGAGAGAGAGTGAGAGTCACGAGAAATGGTCTCTGTTCTCCAGGAGCCCAGAGTCAGGAGTGGGAGTAGTTTTGTAATTAAGAGTGAGGAGCCAGATGGCTCTCAAAAGGCAAGATAAAAATTCAGATGAAATTCAGACTATAATAAGAAGAATGGATAAGAGTTCTTATTTCCTCATGGGAACTCCATTTTCAATTATAATAGCAAATACCATTATCGTGTTGAATGGAATTTCAGGGTCATAATGTTTTTTCTAGGTAAGTTTACTTTTAACCACTGTTAAGGCAAATTTGCAACATCAGGAGTTTTGGGTCACACTGCCTTCCAGAGGTCAAACAAAATACATATGGTCAGCCTTGGCCCCTGACCTTGGTTAATGTGTAGGGAACCTGGAGGAGTTCTATGAGTCTGCAATAGTCAGTGTTAACCATATAGATGAAGTCTGTGGGCCTGGGCAATCTTAGGTAGGCAGCAGAGTGGAGTGGTTAAGAGCACTGATTTTGAAGCCAAACTGCCCGGCTTTGTACCCTGACCCCACTCCTAATTAGCTGTATGCCCTCAAATAAGTTAAGCTACTTAACCTGATACTTCAAGCTCTTCATCTGGTAAATGGGCATAATAATAATACCTGCTTCACTTGTAAGGATTAAATGCACACATTTGTGTCAAGTGCTTAGAACAGGGACTGGTCCATCTTAAGATAGATCTAAGTGTTCTTTTGGGGGGAGCAAAAACTAATTTCCCCTGAGTGATGCTACTTAGCCTTATCTCTTGGGGAATTGTCTCTTAGGGACTTGTGTCTTGGGGATATTGGGGTGTGGAGTGAGTCACTCACTTGTCCTTTCATTCGCTGTACAAATATTTATTGTGCGCTTACCATATGCCAGTGAATCACTTAGGAGGTTAGCCAGCCCCATATATATTTTTATATCACTGTGTGGGCCTTTATTTTTAATGGCTTTGTCTAGTAACTCATTACTGTGGTTTTAAAAAATTCAGAGTTAAAAGACAATTTTAAGGATCTACTGTATATTCTCTCATATAGTTTAATCTTTAAAAGAGTAGTTAACATGAAAGGGTCTGACGGACAGGTCTGATGCACTGTTTCTACTTGGCTAGGTTCCTGTATTTCTGATTGAAATCACATGTATCTTTGTTTATTTGTTCCAATACTCAGAATACCATCTTTTGCATTAGTTTGAATTAAATTATCTTAAAATATGACCTTAATTCATTAGCTATATTTATAGAATTATATTCTATGACTTCTCTGTTGTCATAGTAAGCTTGCTATGGAATGTGCTTATAAGCATAAAATTAGCCACAATTTATTTGAAAAATTTCTTACATTTAGATCAAAACATCAAATCCTCCAATGATCTATGAATTTGACATGCATTCAGAATCAACAGAAAGTATGAGAAGATATTTAAATCTCTTAGGCATTAACATCAGTGGATCAATGCTGATAGTAATTGATAACTTCAAATAGATTTGTTATTTGAAGCAGAGAAGCTTCCTGTGTTGCTAGACTTCTCCCCGACGGAAGATAGGTCAAGGAGCAGGGCCATGTGGATTTATATTCTCTACACTCAATTTAATAGCACAAATAATTCTGCTGAATGGAAATAAAATACTAACTTCAAAATATGACCTTCAAAATGCCATAGTTCCATAATCTAAGATGAATATTTTTTTAGCATTGTCACATTTCTGAAATTAGGAAGCATCTTTCAATGATATGTTTTTCAGTGGTATCTTTCTTTTTTACTTCTTTCCTCCCTTCCCAAAAGTTATTATTAAATTAAATTATTATGAAATTATTAAATTATATCTAAAACTGATGGCATACTGTAATAGAAGGATAATGTAAGTCAAATGAACTCTGAGATTATCAATTTTTCTTTCATTTCAATTTCGAGAAAGGTAAGTAATTAAAAAGAAACAAATTAAGCCATTATTCCTATGGAGTTTTCAAATTAATGAAATTGTACTAGCATTTTTAGTTTTCCAAGATTTTCGCAAACTACAGAGTTCTAGAAGTGTAACCACAGGTCACTCTAATCTCTGGTAACACAATGGATTTTAGGAAAACATGTTAAAGAGCACATGTTGAAAATATTCACTGGGCATTTGTTCCACACAGAGGTATTGAAAACAAGGCATTTTTCTACACCGTTAGTATAATTCCTGGTACTCTGCGGCACCCTAAATATCTGTGGGGAGACTGAATGAAGCAATGGATGCTTCAAGAGCATAATACATGTCAAGATGATCTCAAGATTTCTTTTAGATTATTTACTAGCATATATAATTAAATTCCATGCATACACTTAACACTGAAATAAAAAAGAAAGACATGTAGCAGGTCTAGGTTGTCAGATTTAGCCAGAAATTGTTTTCACTGTTTAAGGATAATCACTAGTAAAAATTATTGATATATGTTATATGTAGTCATTAAATATGTGCACATATATAATATTGTGGCAATATATTAGACAAATGTTGACTTTGAGATACTGACAATATAACTAAAATGAATGAACTTTTAAAAATGGCCTATCTTGTTTCTTCTGAAAACATCTGAATATGATTTATTTTAATAAGATTATATATTTATAAATAAAAGAAAAATGCACTTGAATAACATTTATTTAAGTGACTTTTTCATTTTCATGTATTAATATATGCCATCTGGGGTTCTTACACATGTCATGCATGTATGAAACTCCTGAAGTTTGCTAAAAATTTGGTGGAGTATAGATAAATTTTCAAGGCAAAACTATTTGTAATATACTTAAATCCATGTGTGTGTATTTTTGTAAATAGAGCAGCTGTGTAACAATGTGACTTTCCTTAATGTTTCGTAGGTCAAATTCATTTCGATTTCGCACCTGCTGAAGTGGAGAAATGTTCGCCTTCGTTCCTCTGGGGTCTGCTTGCTTTTCCTGAGTTGGCTAGGACGCGACATGGGAGTGCCCGGACGCCGGCAGAGAGTGGTTAACACGAAAGAGTAGTTAACCTGGTGTGAGGGTCCACTGGCCTATTAGTTGTTTCCACAGATGTCTGCTGAGATGTGAGTCATCGCCCTCTGACCTTCTGTTCTTTCCTCCTGCAGTTTGCCTCCGAGGTGCCCCTCCACCGCGCAGGTAGCCCTGCAGCTCTGATCAGGTTCTCTGTTTTTCCCATACCAAGCGTGGGGACATTGGAATCATTTGTTTGCTTCTCCCTGTCCCTGTAAATCTGCCAAGGTTGAGGCTGCTTAAGATATGCCGCCTAGTCATTTCTTTGGCCTAGTCTTGCCCCTTCCAAAGCTCTTCCTGGAATAGAACATGGAGCCCACCCCTCTTTCAGAATATGAATTTTGTTCTTTACCTTTCCTATGCCATTCAAGAAAAAAAAAGTCTGCCAGAAAAGTCGTTTTCTCTGGATTCCAGGGGCCATACTGCCATATTCTCCTAACTTCCGTCGTGCCTGTCTCTTCTCAGTCTGAGGGATTACTTCTCGTCCCTTCTTATGTTCTTTCTCTTCCCCAGGTATTTCTCCCAAACTTTTTGTTTACTTCAGGAATACTGTCAGCTCCTCTAAGAGCTTACGTTTTAGAAACCAATGTCAAAGGAGCCCTTTGTCGATATTTTTCATCATTTTACATCCCTACTCCAAAACATTTAGCACAGAATAGCCTAATTGACAGCAAAAAATCAACATTTTTCTGACCAAAGGAAGAGAATGTACTTGATCAAGAAATGTTATCCCATGACACAGGTACTGGTGTCTTATTTAGTGGGGACAGGTCATCTTCAGTTTGTGGTTATTTGGTAAATAGCCAGTGACTTTCATGTCAACCCCCCACATTTTGGGAATCTTCATATAAAGTAAAATGATTCTAAATTATCCTTTATTATCTAACTAGATAGAAGGTAAGGGTCCTTGAAGAAATGATCTTTCCTGTGATGCTTTGGAAAATGATAAAGTAGGACCATTTAACTGTGAGCCTTAATCCAGTTAAAAATTTGAGTAGTACTGAACACCAGAAGAAACTAATGAATAACACATAGTAACTATTATCTCTTGCACCAGTAGCTGCAAAATTGAGACAGAGGAGTGATTCACTGCACAGAATGTTAGTAACAGGGCTCAGAACTGACTCCAGGTCCTGCTTCATTTCTCATTTTGTATCAGAATTTCACTAGGTGCCTTGTGCTATTTTAGATGCTTAACATGCAGATAAAAATTTTTAATTTTCTAGTGTTCGTAAATGTTTTTCCCTTTAATCTGGGATTCCATATTAATGTTGGCTGCTTTTAACTGTATCATTAGAAGACTTTGAAACTGGAAAAATGTAAAGATTCTTTACAAAGAGTGTACAAATTAACCTTGCAAATCTTTGTAGAGTTACCTGTGCACATAAAATAAGGAACTGGATGTGTGAGTGAGAATGTTTATTCTCTCTCTCTCTCTCTCTCTCTCTCTCTCTACCTAAAGCATATGCTGTTTTCTAAACTACTTGTATTCTCCATTCTCATTGCTTGCTTTTCAAAAAGACACCATATATACATATGCTTGTGTTCTTACAGAATATAATAGAAATAATACTAGATGTAATAATAATAGCCAACATTTATTTAGTATTTGCTATGTACCTGGTACTATCTAGGCACTTATATGTATTAAGTCACTGACTCCTTTAAAACAAACTCATAGCCCCAATATATGGTTAAGGAAATTGAGGCATACAGAAAGTAAGTAACTTGTCCAGTGCCAAAAACTAGTAAGTAGCAGAAGGAGGGTTATACACAGACAGGCAAGTAGTCTCTGTGCTTAGTAGCTTCCCTGACTGAGTATAAAAGTGGCAATATAAGAGCTGCAAGTTCTTCTTGAACATGATAGGTTTTTGATAGCAGGTTGGAAGGAGAAAAAACTATAAAATAAGTTTAATGTTTCTGGAATCATTTTTCTTGTTGTGTGTAGTGGCTGTGTGGCAGCCAATATAATACGTTTAAGATTATTGATATTGGAAGAGGAAAAGTGATCTTCCCAGGTGTTGCAGGAAACTACTATTATAATCCCTAGTTTTACTTCACACCATTGTCCTTTTGAGTTTCTCCACTAGTGTATTACAAATGGGCACTGCAGAACATAAGAGACATAACAATTTTTTTTAGTATTTTTCCAATTTAGATCAGTGTCACATTTAAGTCAGTGGTTGTTTTAGAATTTATCACTGGGGCGGGGGAGGCTGGGATGGAAAAAATAGACAAAAAACTGTACTTGAAAAATAACTAAATAAAATTAATTATAAAAAAATGAAATGACATCATAATTCATGAACATATCTAATTAAGACCAAATCCAGTATCCAAACATTGTATATTTAGTTGCAGCTTCTTAACTGACCTTAGAAAAGTAATTGCAAGTTTTTAATTTTATAATAAAATATTTCAAAATTAAAAAAAAAAGAATTTATCACCGGGGCTTTTCAGAGCTGTTGGCTGTCACCCACAGTATAGAATGATAGGACTTATTTGTTGAATCTCTGTCCATGAGATTTTCCTGGTTGATAACATAAATGCTGATGTTATCAACATCAGCATTTCTTTTCTTTTTCTCCCTAAATCTAGGCTACTCCCTCGAGGTCATTTTGTGTGTGGACTTTCTGTAACTCATTTGCCCAGAGTATACTTTTCCATGGACATAGTTCATTCTTTGTTGATTAGAGCTGTAAAGTATTTGCTATCTTCTTGGGCTTTGCAAATTTATCTGTGGTAAAGAGTTTAAGTGTACAACATCAGGTCAATGGACTTCAGTGTGATGCATGGTCTGATGTTTTAGTTTAAAAATCGTTAGCGAAAAAAAAATCGTTAGTGAGTTCATTCTTTACACACTGAAGAATTTCTGCAGGATGCTTTTTTTGTATGTCAAAGGAATTAGCTATGATCACAGGCAGTTATCAAATTTAAGAGGTTAGCTACCTTTATTTATTAAAATTTAAAAGTACTATGAATGAATAAAAGTGCATGTTGTGCATAACTCTATTTAGTAAGTCATGGCCTAATGTCTTATATTATAGATTTTTTTGAGGCTGTCTTTACTTTTTACTTTGTAAGGTCCCTGAAAGAAATTACTGTGCATAGTCATATTTTAGTACTATTGATAAAGGCCCACAATTGTTTCTAACACAGTATAGATTCTCAAGAAATATTTTGAATTAACTGTTCATTCAAATCAAGCACAGCTATAAATCTATCTTATGCTTTGCACAAGATTATTTAAATCTTAGGGTCAAGGTATGCAAATGCACACCAAGATCTATAGGTGTGTCGCTGAGTCAAAAGGTGTGATGTGACTAAACAGTAATTGTTCATGAAGATAACTGAGTGATGGCACATGGAAATACTCATTTGTAAGTCAGGAGACTACAGCTAAGTAAAAACAGAAATTTGTTATCGTGCCTATTAAGGTAAATTCGGTTTTCATGTGTCACGTACATGTATTATCAATCAACAATTAATTGCTTGGTGAGTTCTCACCATGTATTTTACCATATATTTAGCTCTACTAAGCACTGTTGGTGATGCAGGAATAAAGTAACTAGAAACTTAAGGTTTTTGCTGTGTTTAGGATACACACTTGGTTAGCAGGTAAATGGCCATTAACCAGCACTGTTACTTTGTGTTACTTCTTTTCTAGACTCTGAATCACAGACACTCTTAGTCTTCCTCTTCCCTCACAGCTGGTCCTTCTCGTTAGCTTTCTGTGGCTCTTCCTCCACCCTCAAGACCCATCCCTGCACGTTGTAGGACTGAGAGTTCTATCCTTGGCGCTCATCTCTTCTCTGTCTATACTCCCTTCCTAGGTGATCAGGTGATGTCATGTAAACCCATGACTTTAAACACATTTGTGTTTAAATACATCTATGTTATCTATTTTTTCCCATTTGTTATTCATGGATTCACATATTGAGCAACATGACATTTCTACCAGATGTCTAACATATTTTAAATTTATTAAGTCCAAACAGAACTATTAATTATCTTCCTTAAGTCTGGTATATCATCCCATACCTTCCTCTCCCATACTTCTACCAATAAATGGCTCCATCATAGGCCACATGAATCATTATTGAGTCTTTTCTCTCCTCATACATCATTTAATTTCTCAGTAAGTGCTGACAGCACTACTCCAAAAATGTATTCAGAATCTGACCACTGATCACCTTTTCTTTTTCTAGAATCCTAGTCTAAACCACCATCATCTCTTGCCTGGGCTACTGTCACTGCCACAGTTACTGGGATTTCTACCTCCAGGCTTGCCCACTGTGGTCTGTTATATCCAGACAGTGATCTTGAATCAGAGCTTGTCATGCGGCTACTTAAGAATTGACTTGCAGGAGTGGAAACATAGAAAGAAGCTCTAGGGGCAACAGGGGAGTGGAGGAGAGAAGGGGGAGAAGGTAAAAAAACAAAAAGAAGGGGGGCAAGATAGCAGGGAAATATAAATCTAAAGGACTGACACATGGTCATAAACTAAAGGGGGGGTAATGGTGGGGATGAAGGGTAGGGTGGAGGGGAATAAAGGGGGAATAGAACAACTGTAACAGCATAATCAATAAAAAAATAATAAAAAAAAAAGAATTGACTTGTGATTCTGCACAACAACCAGAATAGAGTTCAACCTCCTTCCTTACGTCTGGAGAGCTCAGTATCAGCCTCCCTCCAGATCTTATCTTTTTTCTGTTCTCCTCTGTTCACTGCACTATAGCCACCCAGGCCTTCTCTTCATCCCCTCTTAGGGCCTTTTCTCTTACTATGTCTTTTACTTTAAATGACCTTCAACCCCTGCCCCAATCTCCCCATGCCTCTTTCCTTGTCATCATTCAGATTTCAACTGAAATGTCACTTCCTCAGATAGGTCTTCTCCGACACCCTTTTGTAAAGCTACAGCTCTTCACCAGTCATACAGGACCATAAGTCATTAAAAATATTTGCTGATGGACTGGCCTACTGGCCTTTATATTCTTAACTATATGCATCCAATTACCTCTAAGAACCTTTCCAGTCCTAAAAGGTTGCTCTAGTTTCTCAACATAAAATTGATCTGAATAATGAGGATAGCAAAATGTCCATGTTGCACCCGCATTCTAAGACCTAGATTGAGCTGCGCTTGTGACCCTGCTCCACAGTGATCTCTCCAACCTTTCCTGCGTGGACAAGTTTGGAGTCTCTACAGGCCAGTTGTGGTTAGCCATATGCTGTTTTACCTTCCCAATGAAGTGCTCTTGCATGTATGCCTATAGGTGCAATTGCATTTGAACACTCTTGAGGTAAGAGCGTGTGCTGATCCCAGCCTGCTTTTTCTCATGGGAATAATGATAATGCTATAGCTAAAATTCACTGAGTGTCAATATGTGCTATTATTGTTAGTACTTGACATGCATTGACTAATTCAATCCTTAGAGTGACCCCATGAAAGAACGTTATTTCTAATATGGAGGAGAAACAATCAAGGCACAAATTGAAGTAACTTGCCAATTACATAGAAGCAGTAGTAGGGCTGGTGTTTAAACTTGGAAATCTGTTCCCAAAACTATGTTGTTAATGAATGATAATGCCTCATATAACATCTACAATGGACACTAGAAATTGAGTGAATGAATAAGAAAGAAAGGAAAGTAAGCAGCAGCAGTTCTATGGAGTGGCTATATACCTCACCCAAAAAACTCATAGGTAATTATGACTGAAAGAATGCTTATTACAATGAATGCCTTGTTTTTTTCTGGTTGCTGCCTTCACAAAGCTGGCATTTGTGTTTATCATTACAGCCTACTCTGACTTTGCTAACCTGGCAGTTTTGTATCTGAGCACCCATCAGTCCTCAAACAAATTCCACAGATGTCTCCTGTAACCTACTGAGTTTGAAAGGGCAATTATCAGTCAACTAAACTGAAAACAAACTTAAACCACCGAGGAAGAGCAGATCTTTGTGTGAGTCAGAAGGACTTTGCTTTCAGAGTTATGAAAGACTGTTCTCTCGTGTTACATGTCTCCTAGAAGTGGCAAAACAATCATTGAAAAAAATGTTTTAAAGTTAAAATACTTTAAAATAAAGCTTTGTACCACTTTTAAATGGTAGAATAAAATAATACAAAATGGTGGATTCCAACTTTAACTTACGGTCAGATTACCTGAAATTTGAAACTTCGGTGTGTGGTTCAGTGCCTCACTGCCGACCTGGTTGCCAGTGTCTGTTTCCCTCTCGGCCCACGCTGCCTCCTCCACCAACTCCCCATCCTGCCGCTGCATCCCTGGGGTTCCGGGAAACATAAAAATCAAGGCCTTCAAGTCATCGAGTGATGACACTTGGAGATCTTATTTCAGGAGAATAAAAAATAAAGTGTGAGACAAGAAGGATCCACCCTCATGTCATGTTCTGCAGCTCAAATCCAAGAAAAATATTTCTACTGCTGATGCTAATGGATATATCTTTTTGAGTATAAGAAAATTTGGGGGAACTTTTAGTAGAGAATAACCGTTCTAATTTTTAAAAGCCATCATAGATTAGACCTATACATAAATTAGATCTATACCCTCCTGGTCTAAGACCGCCTGAGTTCATAAACCTTGCTCTATTGCTCACTAACTGTTGACCTTGGGCAAAGTTTAATTTCAGTTGCTTTATCTTAACCTCAGTTTTCTCACTTGCAAAATAGAGGTTAGTTGTTTAAAGGGCACTCACAAGTGCAGAGATTGGCACATTGTAGGTACTTTATAAATGTTTGTCAAATAACTGCTGTCATTTTCCCCCGGACACACTTAGTACAATTGACATAATTCTAACCTAATGTAAAGGCTCTTGAGTAAGTGTTTACAGCCTTACCATGAATACATGCAAAACTTCTGTTGTTATTGTTTTCTCAATATTGAAAATAAGCTCACAAACCTTTATTATGCTTTTGTGGATATGAAAGAGGAGTTGATGAACACCAGACTGGAAACTGTTCATGTGTTTGTTTATCCATTCATTCATTCATCAACTTATATTTATGAAGCACCTACTACATGATGGGAATGCATATGATTACTTACATTAATATTAAATTTGCTAGAGATGGGTACTAAATAACCCTTAATTTTTTCACAACACTGCAAATTTTTACTTATTTAATTTAATTCACAGGTTTAATGTCTATCTATTAAGTGTCAAGTACTGAACTGAGATTTTTTTGTGAAGAATACAATAAATAGAACAAGTCATTACTCCTATAAAATGTTTATAATTATTACACTATAAAATCCAAGAGGTATGACTAAGAACTAAAACAAAGTAATAGAGATATTGGAAGAGAGTGAGAAGAATATCACACTGGGGGAGAAGAGGTTCTAATATGTGCACCAAAGAAGAGTAGGGTTCATAGAAATAGAAAGCAAGAAGGAGTCAGCGCGGTGGGAGACCACCGAACAAACAGAGGCTGTAGTCTGGAAATACCTGGCATGCTGGGAAATGTGGAGATGACCTTATAGCACCATGCACAGTACTCTCATGTATATTCTCAAGGTCTGAACATTAATTAGGAGTTTATTATAACTACTCAGGCAGGATTTGGTAAGAACCTAAACTAGAGAGATGTCAGTGTTCTGAAGCATAAGGGTAAATATGAGATTTTAAATGAAAGTGTAAAGGACACATGGACGATAACTAAGTGTAGTGGAAATGGGAGGGAGGTGGGGAGCACTGGGGGGGTGCTGGGATGAGAGTAAAAGATAGAAAACTGTACTTGAACAACAATTAAATAAATTTTAAAAAACTAGGAACGAACCAGATACATGAGATTAAGGAGAAGGCAGTATTAAAATGACTGTAAGGTTATGAAAATGAGTGATGTGTAAGATTAATCATAAGCCAAATAGGTAAATTTAGGAAAAATCAGATGTGAGTCATGGGGAGATGACAAATTGGTACTGAGCATACTCACATACTGAGCTTATGGTGAGTGGATTTTAAGGGGAGAAATGGATTTTCAAGTTTCTTGAGAGTAACTATAGTAAGAAATACATTTTACATAATAACCTCCCTTAGTTTTTCTCAGAAGATGATCACTTTGCAAATTTTTTTTCTGATCCTACTATATGTAGCAAAAATTTTTGACAAAATGATACTTCTATTACCTGTAAAGTCCTCTCATCAATTCAATTCCTTTAATTTTACTAAAAAATATTGGTCAACACTAAATTTATTTCATGACACTGATAAAAAACAATCTGAAAAGAGTTTGAAATCAGAATCTTACTATAGTAAGTGTATTTTAGAGATTTCTGTCAATAAGAAGATTTTTGTAGTGAAAAGTCAAGGCTAATATAGATTTTGGGTTGGAGCACATGACATTAAGAAATAAGTTCTAGTTCACAGGGTATAGAAACTCCTTCTAGATGATCATAGCTGCAGAGAGACTCCAACACATGAATAAATTAGTTAGACATACTCCAGGGTGTGAAAAACCAAAAACCATTAGAAATGACATGCAATCCAATTATTATTTTTCCTATAAAAATGTGTCTTAGTTTTTTAAAAAAAGGCATTTCTATGTTGATGTCTGACTGCACCATATTTTTCCTATTGAGTAGTGTTATTCATACTCTCCTCTCCTCATCCTTGCAAACACATTTCATATTCAATACTTCCCAGGAATATGCACACAATTTTAAAGTATACTCAGAAGAAACTAAAGAATAATCCCTGAATGGCTTGATTTAGGTTATTGTAGTTGGCAGTTTGATTTGGCCGAAGAAGAAGTAATTGTTCCTATGTAGTTAGTGGTCATGAGGAACTTTCTCTGTAGATGACCTTGCTTCACTGCATGAGTGAGTCATTGGAAAGATTTTCATGTTTTATCTTCTCAATCACTCTCTTTGCTTACTCACCTAAACTAAACACAAAAGAATATAAATGGGAATTAGTATTGTCTTGAAACTTGAATTTGGGTGGAGAGTACAAAGAAGTGCCAGCCACATGGCACAAGCTAAAAATTGAGCAACACTATGGGCAATGGATGGGGCTCCTGGGCCACAGGGGGATATCAGTGGACTGCTTAAACGGGCCCCATGACTCAAGTGACTTCAGCCTTTTCAGACGGATTGAAAGAAGTCAGCTTCTGATAACCCTTTTATCAGGTTATCCCTCTAACTAAACTAATTCCCAGATGCATTCCAATAAGAAAAGAAAAAAATGTGGAAGGACACACAATGTCAGGTTGCTCATGACCTCATACTACATGGATGTAGTTGCATCTTGGTCAGTCAAATTAAACTGACAGCTAATTAAACTTCTGAATGGGTATATCCAAGGCATTCAATGGTGTTTGATGTAGTGAGCCTAAGAATGGTTTATGTTATCCAGGACATTATTATATAAGGGATGTGGGACATAACCTAAAACGTTTCTGCGTAAATGTTTACCTAACAACTGCAGTGACCCAAAAAAAGAAAAGAGAAGTTTCTGAACAATCAAATAGAGATTCCAAAGTTTAAGTGCCAAAGTTCAGGCCCTAATGGCTATTTACAAGGGCCAGTTGAGCTCTGCCCTAGTTGGATGGGACCCACTTGAAGAACCTTAGAACCACTACCTCAGGTTTTCCTCTTCATATTGTTCTCTGTCTGAGATCCCACCCATCAGGAATTCACTGACAGAACAGCAGCCTCGTCCAAAATGCCTCTATTTCTCAGAAGGTTAGGTGTTGTTTGTGGAGGAAATAGAGTGTCACCTACCTGAATTGGCCTACAGTCTAAGAAATGACAGTTTGGGCCCAGGGTGTGCAGAGAAAAGGCACATAGAACTGGAGGCAGGGTCCTAGTGGTGGGCTTGGAGCACCTGAAAGAAGAACAGTGCTGAGATGCATCTAAGACAGGTGTTTGAGGTCAGCAGGGATGGCAGTGCAATGGGAGGGATTATCATGAAGCCCAGTGAAGGGTTGGTCAGGGACATGGAGCACCACAGTGTTTTCTTATTTTACAGGTTAGCCCTCAGCAATGTCTCTCTACTTAGCAGGTCTTTATTTTTTTGGTCTGTTTAAACTTTCTTTGTTTCCTCAAATACTCAACTCTAAGCTCTTCATTCTTAGCACCTTCCCATGCCCTTTATAGAGAAAATAGAAGCACCATTAGTGGGACCCTTCTCATTGCTTTCTAACTGCTCACAAGTAAACATTTTCATTGACCCTGAACTCTCTTCAGCTGCCCCCCTTCACATCCAAGTTTCTTGGAAGAGATGTTTATACTGCAGTTATATATTACCCCCTGTTCACTTTTATATCCACTTTAATTTGGTTTGGGTCTTATCAGTCTATCAAACACAGCTCTATTAAAAACATCAATAATCCTCATGCAACAAAAAATTTTTTCAAGATCTACTATTCCTGTTGGCAATATTTGTAACCCTTACCTATTCCATCTTCAATGCTCTCTTCCCATATGTTCTCTGGTATAACACTACCTTGATATTCTTCCTTTTCTCAGGCTGCACGTTCTTTGATCTTAGATTTTTTCTCAAGACTCCACAATGGGTCTCTCTTTGTCCCACATGGTGATCTCCCCAGGCTATCTCAACCTGGCACTCCCAAATCATATTCTGATCTTCAGCTTCACCTCTGACCTCTAGACTCTCTATCTATAATTATTCCTTTGACATTTCTCCTTAGATGTCTCAAAGACACCTGCAGTCAAACAGGTCTAAATCATACTATGCTCTTCCTACATAGCTTTAGTTTTTGTCATACCACAATAATTAAATTGTACAAGGCAGAAAGCTAGAAACCATCATGACACTTTGATTTGTCTTAGCACCAGTTTTTTAATCCATGAAGTACCATTAATTTTATCTCCCTGGGGTTTGTACTGGGGAGATCCAGCGCCCACCCCTGACCCACCTCTTCTCTCTGGCCACCATTGGCTTCATCCTGTACTGTGAAAGGGCCTTATATATGTGCATGTGGAAACCACACCTCATGTTCTAGCTCCTCCAAACAGTTGCCTCTTGGCCTCTTGTCACTTGTGGTAAATACTTCAGTGACATGGTGTGCTCATCAGGATATGTACTCATGTAAGAGGCCCTATCAGGCCTTAGAGGAGATTCAGGGCTGTTTGAACAGGGACTTTCAGTGTCAGGGTGCCTGAATTATGGTCTAGAAAAGGAGGAAGACAGATCTTGGTGGGCATTTAGACTTAATTTTGTGGACTTTTTGCCCTCTGGGGCAGATCATAGCTGAAAGAGGCCAGAGAGGGC